ACACTGCTGAGGGGAGCAGCGGGCAGGCCAGGAGAGGTCTGCCACGCCATGTGGTCTCCTCCGGGGCAGGCGGGAATCGAACCCATGCGGAAGCGGCCTCAGATTCTCAGTGCTGTGCTTTAACCCGCTGCGCCACCAGGGAGGGCCTGTACCACATCTTTTTAATCCAGTCATCCACTTTTTTGGGCATTTGGGTTGTTCCCTTGTCTTTCCAATTGTAAATAAAGCAGCAAGCAAGAAACATGGGGGTGCAGGTGTCTTTTCGTGGCTAGCTTGCAGTGCTGCATCCTAACCTGCTGCACCACCAGGGAGAGGGCCACAGGTGTCTTTTTGAATCAGTGTTTTTGTGTCTTTTGGGTAGATACCTAGGAGTGGGATTGCTGGGTCCTATGGAAGCTCCATGTTGAGCAGTTTGAGGAACCTCCAAACAGTTTTCCATAGTGGTTGTACTAGTTTGCATTCCCACCAGCAGAGCACAGCTTAATTTTACATACTAACACCTCTAGTTTTCTGGCAGAGCCACAGAAAAGACAATTATGGGTTTTACTTATCTATCCGGGACTTATCTTCTATGAGTACAGATGATTCAGAGATGCCTGTGACAATGCTTTCATTTAAAATCACCTATATATAAAATGGTTTCATTTCAGCACAGCCAAGAACATGCTGCTATACGCTGGATTGCCAAGCCACCCAGGAGTTAATATTTACCTCAGACATGCTTTTAAACCAGTGTTACCTCACATTTGTCAAGTTCTCAAACTTTTATAAAACTCTGAAAATAGAAATGTTTTCAGGGCCATATTTTTGCATAGAAAATGCCAAATGTAAATCAACCACTTTTAGGATTTACAAGTCACTCTGAAATGATTGCCACTAAAATTTCACTGCTTTTTAAGGCGAGAGCATGTCTGCTGAGTTGAAGAAATAGCTATTTAGAAGTACCATTTGACTAAACACCATGGCATACAGATTTATAATGCATTTATTCAGAAAACTATTAAAAGTTGCCAAAACTATAACATCACAATTTGAAAGTAGGGTCCCTCTCCAACTCCATATAAATATGGTAGAGATTTTAAATGACTGTTTTCAACTTCAGACAGATTTTTTGCAAAATGAGATAAAATACTATGTTGAAAATAAGTATTTACTTGCTCATTTGCCCTCAATGTAATGAGCCCAAACACACACCAAAGTATTGAAAGTGAGCCAGAACGCTTGAAAGGCCACCACTTCTCAGTGTTGAACAAAATGTGCTGCGAACTGTATACATCAGGCCTTAAAGCTCAGTGATGCTAGCAAGGCACCTGGTGGGCCCTCGATGGTGTGGACAGACTGGAGATTGGTATCACTGGCCTTGAGTTACTTTCTTTGAAGATGCGGCTATTATGTTAGTCAGTTGTCCAAACAAGGATTCATTAGGTTATGATTTGCGCAAGGATGAGAGTATTAAACACTCTTTAAGACCTTCACTCGACTTGTTCTAAGAGCAAAATCATCCCTAAGGATCCTCTGGCAGAGGTGACTTAACAGGGCGGCCACAGCCAGCAAAGCTGACCGGGGCAGCTCCACCGAGGGTGCCACGGGAGCAATGCCAACACCTCATTCCCGGCCCCAGGGGCCTCAGGAGGCCTCGGGAGTTAAGCGAGGCTGCACTTGAACTCACTTCAAAGGTTTCCTCCTAACTGTATTTGCTTGCAAGGCTTGAGCTTTAAGAAGCATGAAGTTAAAAAAGAACTTGACATAGCCACATTCAAAACTGGCTTCTAAGTTAAATTACGACATGGCTCATAAAACCAGCTGTCTCAAAGACAGTGTGTTATCTTTATTAAAAAACGGAGATACGTAGCAGCACTTACAATAGTTCATCAAAGGCATTATACATTGTCAACTGATAGTGTAAAGAGGGCAGGCCCAGCACAGCTGGGTGTGGGCTTGCTTCAGGACACTCACACAACCACCTGCTCCACATAACAGGACTCAGCCCAACACCTACGGGAGGCCAGCAGCAACACGGCGCCCCTCAACTTCAAGCCTTTGTCACAAGTGTGAATAGTCAATCAAGTCAAGTATCACCCTCCTTAGCAGCATTTGGAGCACTCATTGGTGTTCTGGAGGTGGCTGGTGTACTTGACCCGCTTATTAAAAATATCTAAGCATTCAATAAAAAGTACTTCTCCCTGTCCAATGTCCTCCACAGAAACACTTCCACTGCGGAACAGACATCTCCTCCATTTAACACCTGCAGAAGCTGACGCCCGCCACCTCTGCAGCAGACACCAGGATCTGGAGCCACACTCGTGCACACATGTCTTTGGTGGAGAACACTGGCACGGTCATGCTGTCCCCTGCCCACTGCTCTGCTTCTTACTGCTCTGTGGGGGGGTGAGGACCCCAGTCGGGAGAGGAGAAATCCTATTTTGTTCAGACAAGATGGCTTTCTTTGCTTGGGCTTGGTCCTGTTGATAAGAATTAAAACAAAAACGAGAAAGAAAAGGTTAAGGTGGGAAGACGGCCCTACGGGACGCACGGTGCACTTCTCCGACACGGAGAGTGGGGGCAGCAGCATACGATCTAAAAGCCGCTGGTCTATTAGATCCAGCATCTCTTTTTTCAAGGAATTAAAAGAATCGGAGACTTGGCAGACTAGCAGGGGCCCGCCTGAAAGAAGGCGAAGAGGCTCTTTAGACAGTTTTAAGAATCTTCTGGGAAACGAGCAGCACTGACCAGCAAATCCAAGCTGTTCATGTGGGTCTGGATGTTGTGCGCATCTTCAGCAGGAACACCCCTGAAGTGCTTAAGTTTCGAACTTCCCGTCTCCCTTATAACCATGGCAAATGGCACCATCCACTTGACACACTTCTCTATATCACACCACTGATATCCTGTAACGAGAATGAATTTTAGACTCAGTATGAGGCCAAGAATGGGTTGTACATTTGACACACTTTTTGGGTACTTTGTGAATGCACTACAAAGCCAACCTACCTGAAACCTTTTGCATCAATTCAGATGAAGAGAAATGATACAAGGCAGAAGCAGCAAGAACACCATAGGAAAACTCTAAGCAGCCAACATCCAGGACACAGAGATCTAAAAGCTATGGGGAGGAAAAGAACACTGAAACAGAGGCCAACGCACGTCCCTTCTAGCTCAATCTAGCGGCGGTCAGTGGCCCCACGGAGGCAGGCATGGGCCCCCTTACCTCTGCAATCTGTATGAAGATTTGCTGGGGGTACTGCGGCAATAGCACTTCATAGACATCATTTAGATACGCAACCTGCATGTACACATTCAGCCAGGAGACGATGGTCAGGGGACTCAACCGCCACTTAAGGGCCTAAGGAAAATGGAGAGAAAAGACACCAATGGGTGAGAAAAGGAAAAGATATTAGGGTCCCCCTGGTGCTCTAAAGCAACTCAAAATGGAGCCACGCTCCTGCCACAATGTGTCCAATTGGGGAACACCCAGGCAACCACTCACACTGAATGTGGAAAAGATATTATGTATGCATTTTTAACAAGGACAGAAAAATTTAATTTGTAACTTACCTTCATAATGATTAATTCCATGTTAAGAATCTGATCTCCTGAACAAGCCCCATCTGTAACATAAGCAAACTGGTGCAACTTTGGAGGATAGATTTCCTAAAAGGAAATAAAGGTACGTGTTATCAGGGAAAAGTCTTCGTGCTATCAGGGAAAAGTCAAGCTCTAGCAGTTTTTTGACTTACAATGTACACCCAAACTTATTCGTAGTATGCTGGCATGGAGAGGAAGGGAAGGACACACAGACGGGATAAATACAAGCACTACTTCAGGGGCTCGAATGCATTAACCATGAAAAAAAGAAAAATTCCCCCCTCAGATATAAACACCTTGTACTCATTGGGGTTATGAAATTCTCACCTCACGCAATATGTCTGAAGATTGAGCCTGTACAATAACTTTATCAATCACACCAAAAATTAACCCCTTTAAGATGAAGGTTCAATCAACATTTAATGTTTTTGCTTCAAGAACTATATTAACCTAAATATGTCACATGCTCACTGCTCAGCTCTCTTCTTGGTTAACAGCTAGTCTTTTTTAGCATGCATCTTAACTTTAGAGGGTTTCATATCAGAAAAATTAGGATCTGTAGCACAGACAAATAGTTGGCCTCTTTTCCCTAATTTCAGTGGAGCTAAAGAAACAGCATGTGCTATATAACACATAGTTGAAAATTATTTACCTCAAGTTTGGCAGCAATAAATAAAGATGAAATTCCAATAAGCTGTAGAAGTGTTTTTACAACATGCTGTTGCGTTGCCATGTACCGATCAAAGAAGTCCTGCGCCAAGTAAAATGTCTCTCTGTGAAGCTTATAGACTTCACACACCTGGAGAAATATTTAGTAAGTTTTTGAGTAATTATTTGAATAAAAGGACAAAAACCCAAAAACTTGCCATGCGTTTTTGTGAAGGACAGTGTAAACACATTAGAGAATTTGGCTTTCTGAAAGGACTGTCTTAGTCATTGCTAAGTACACACAGAATGAAGAGCCACAAACCCGATGTGAGAATTACATCTTCAGTGATCAAGAACAGTTACAGCGAAGGCTGGGGAAGGTATATTCACAGTCTGATGAAAACACCATTTTCATTGAAAAACTCTGCATTTTCTCAAAGACAGTATGTCAATATAAGTTTCACTACGACCTGAAAGAACTAATATTTCTTCACAAATGGCCATCATCACTATGTAAGTTCAAAGCTGGTACATTTAATTAAACACCGTTGATCTGTTAATCACAAAAGGCAACTTTTAAAACAGGCATTAACAAGATTCAGGAGCCTTTGCTCTAGTTCAGGCTCTCACTTGGACACACCCATTTCATTCATATTATTTCAAAGTATAAAATTAAGACAAACACCACCTGGCCTATCTCACAGGATTTGCATGATGTTATGGGGACAGTGGTCTATTACCAAAGGTCTAATTATGTCTCTAAAACTGCTCTTCCTAAACAAACATCCCAGACAAGCATAAGACACAGGGTGAGTAAGTAGAAAAGGTGCCCAAGAAACAATGGGCCTTCGTGGGAAATCCTGCTAGTCACCAGAGTATTCCTAAAGCCCGGGGCGAGGCATATTTAGAGTGGGTGCCCTCTGAGCAGATGGGAAAGAGCGCGGGTGTTCTCTGAGGAACAAACTCTCAGACCTAGTTCTCCAGCTGACTGGACTCCGGCACGAGTGTCTTCATGTATGACTTGTTGGCTAGGCCAAGGGCTGAGACACTTAACAACACTGCAGACAAGTCTGCCCATGAATGCAAAGACATGAGATGGAATCCAAAGACATAATGGCTGCTGTTCTTGTCTTTCTATTCCCAAAGTCATTCCATGACTCTGATTTTTCAGAGAAAAAATTCCTCTCAAAGTACACTAAGCCCTCACTTAACACTGTCAGTAGGTTCTTGAAAACCGCAACTTTAAGTAAATGAAGCCAAATAATGTCAAATAATGTCCTTTCATATAAAGTCAGCTAGGATTCTTTTTTTCCTCATGAACATCCAGCGAAAAGACATTATTTAGTACTTAATACCTGCTACAGATGGCATCAGTTACATCCTATAAAACAGAAACCTTCTAGTCCTGATGCCTGGAGGTGAAGCCCGAGAAACTCAAGTCCACTCCAGCTAATGCTTCAAGGAACTGGAAGATGTTCCTGAGGGTAGAGAAGGTCTATGTGTACTGGCAGGTATGTGGGCAACCATGACACCTGCAATTTAAAGCAGGTCTGAGGAATTCAGGACAGAAAATGTTGATGTTTTCAGAGACCAATGGAGAAAAGCAAATTAAGAATGACAAAACCAGCTATCCTTTCTTGCCTACGATGTAGACTACACTTGACATACATTATTTCTAATCTATAGAAACTGTAAATAAAGTGCTGGAAAATAACACAGATGAGAAAACCACGACTCAATGTTAAGAGACTTGACTAAAGCACCTAGATGGTGAGTGAGGACAGGGGCTTGGATTCCAGGCTGAGGACAGCCCCAAGCCTCTGGGGATGCGGGCGGGGGTACACAGCCCAGGTCATTTGCAGGGACTACTTAAGACACGCAATTTCCATATACACTTTTATAAAATGGATCTGCCTAAAAAGTCTTTCCATGTCTCCGGAGAAAGTCCAATTCTTACCCACCCAAAGCTTACAGACTTGTTCAAGTATCCTTTACTTAAGGTGCTACCGTGTTACCCACAGTTCCTTTCAGATTGATATACATGCTCATAAGTTATTACATTGTCTACCACAATGTGTAATACTTGTTCTTTGATCTGTTTTGGCAGAGGAATATGATAAATATGATCAATAAAAGATTTGAATCTTGTCACAATACAATTCTGTGGGGAAAGAGAAATGTACACCAAGGAGCTAAGAGCAACAACTTAAGATCTGATTGTTAAAGAAAAATTTGTTGATACACTTTTAAGTCTTAGAACTGCCAAATAGTGACTATCAAATAGCTATTAGCTACATTCCACTTTAAAAGCAATTTAATTAACAAAGATCAAATATCAATACTTTTAGCCAATAAAAATACTGCAACTCGGGCCCTCCCTGGTGGCGCAGCGGGTTAAGGCATAGCACTGAGAATCTAAAGCCGCTTCCGCATGAGTTCTACTCCTGCCTGCCCCGAAGGTGACCACATGGCGCAGCAGACTTCTCCTGACCTGCCCGCTGCTCCCCTCAGCAGTGTACTTCGTCGATCTGCCTGTTCTGCTCCCCACTCTGTCTCTGGTGAAGCCTCTCACCACCCCTGAGCCTCTGGACTGTACCCCAGTTCTATATGCACAAATCAATAAATCTTTAAAAACAAAACAAAACAAAAAAAAAACTGCAACTGTTTAAACTTGATTAACAAAAAAAAAGAGATAAGAAAATATCTAAGGGATAAAAGATTTCAGAAATTCTCTTAAAGAAGTATAAAAGCAGGAAAGTTAGGTCAGTGTAGTGTATTTACCATAGCCTCATAGATACAGAATATGTCAATGGTGTCAGACAAATAAAGGAAGAGAGAAAACCAAGCCATCACATCACAGAAGATTCTAGAAATGGGTCAATGCTTGCAGTTAACAGGAAGACTCAAGCTCACCTCCATTAGCCAATCCAGGAGAATGGCTCTCATTTTAGGCTGCAGAAGGGGGTGCCGCTGCATAAAGTGCTTATCCCTTAAGTACGTTTTTTCCTTGTTTAACATGATTTTCCAAACCTCCTCTCTATTTGCCCAGCTACAAAAACAAAGCCAAACACAAAAACAAAAAAGAGAAGTGTCAGTATGCACCCACTTTACCAATGTGGCAGTGAGCACATGGAGCAAGTTCCGGAAGGCAGCTGGCAGTCAACTTACTTCAGGATAGGCAGTGGCGAGGCTCTGGACGGTACAAAACTCTGAGGGTCATACGCAGAGTTTGGGTATACCAGCTCGTCCTCTTCTTTGTCAGGTGTGGGAATCAAGGAGCAGGGGTTTTCACAGACTGTATTATTGACCCAAGGCTGTAAAAGGAAAACCACATTTAAAATTTCATTGATTTGTACAAGTCATCATTCAAAAATGTCTTCATAATAGAGAGTAAGCTACAGGTCTACATAAAGACAGAGATGGCATAGATAAAAAAGTCATAGTAGCGACTCCAAGCTTTGATTTTATTTGTCATTAGCTTAGGAGGCTAAGAGAAGAAAGCAGTCAGTAACACGTCCTCAACCAAACATGAGGTGCATGGGCAGTAAAAATGCACAGAGGAGGAATAAGACAAAGTGCAAACAGTTCTTATCTTACAGAAAGTCATGAAGTAAATCCATCGGTAGCTCAGTAAGATGCTGGACATGTCTTCTAAAGTGCATTGTGAGATTACTTGGTTATTATTCAAAGATTTGGCTTTAATAAGTACAACTAGTCTAAAGTTTATTAAAAGCGTAAGATAAAATCCTAATAAAAGTATTTACATAAGCATTCCACAGTCACAAGTATAAACGATCAAAAACTGACTGTAAGTGGATTTCCATCAATGATTAAAGTCTCCTTACTTTGAAATACCTATCAAATGTGATATATTCCTTTGGTGGCAGGGCTCGATAAACACAGTACATAGTGGGGGTCTTTCGTTTTCCTTAACTCAAAACAAAACTCTGCCTAGTTAAAACCAAATCAAACAATGGCCACTGGATATTCTAAGAAGTCTGCAGAGACAGACACTCCTGGGTGCCTTTGAATCCTGTCCTAAAAGCCTGCACAGAATAAAACTCAAGTAACTGATAAGGTGAGTAAATCATAATTAAAAACCAAAAAAATATACTTTCCTCTTAAAGACTCCGGATACTTCAGTCAATTTTCAGTATTTGGAAAATAGTGTCATCTTTTTAAAGCTCTTATGTCCTACTCTTAAAAGAAGCCTGTGATAGACTCCTAAAGCTATAAAGATGAGTTTGTTGAAAACATGGCAGGTAACAATCCCACCAGTATGGAAGTCCTTCGCATTTTTTTTAAAGCTGAGAGATCATTAATGTTGACTGGAAGAGACCTCTAGGAGTTGACTGCAGATGAACACGGCAACGTAGGATCTGTGCTGCTTGGAAGAAAGCATACAAGGTGGCTCTCACAGCACAGTGGCCTCTTTTGGAGGAAGTCCCAGCACTTTCAGTGTACTGAGAAGGGCAAAGCTTCAGAATAAAGTTCTCCCAGCAGTGTGCAGGAACTGGACATGCAAATTAACCATGACAGCTCTTGCCAACAGCTGTTCAGAAAGGCAACCTCCTCTTCCAGTTCTGTTAGCATGTGCTAGTAACACTTCCTTGACTCAAAAAGGGTCACATTACAACAACTAAGTTGTTCATTCAAGAACAAATTCTAGTCTGGAAGGCAGAAACTGGGTGCCACCCTCTTCTAGCCAGATAGGGGCTGACCCTGCTGGGAGCAGGCCTTTGGAGATAAAACTGGTAGTAGTTCCCAACCTTCATTTCATAGACAAATCAGGTGAAACTCAAACAGACAAATGGTTTCCAAAGTTGGTCTTTTTAGGAACCAGAATAGAACTCTATATCCTTTAACTTCAGCGCACATCAATTCTCAAGGGAAGAAAGAGCAGTCTGACTTTAGGAAGGAATGGAAAAACATCAAGAGGCCAATTTTGACTATTCCTAACCACCCCTGACTTCCACATGCCACTTCTAATTAAGACTAGAATTACCTTATACCAAATTATGTTCTGAGAACTAATAGAAAGTCCAAGATGCCACTTTAATAAAAAAAAAGCTGGGTTGAATGCATAAAATTAAACAACAAAATGGATATGTTCAATTTAGATAAAAGGGTATTCTTTTCATTAAGAAAGGCCTGAGGTAAGAATCATCATAGGTTCTGTGTGGTCTTGATGAAGTGGTTACATGGAGTTTAGCATGATGGTTACAAGTAGCTCAAGGCTATTGTACTGAGCTGAACTATGATACCCAGGGAAAATTCTGTGTAATTGGTAGGAAAAAGGTTCTGTGTTACCTCAACCTTCTATCTTCATGATGATATAGAGAGTAATAATAAAACACTGACTATGCCATAACCAGATGGAAAGTTTTCCAGCTATCTACAAAATGTGCAGAAACTCTTGTCACTAATCCCTGGACAACCAAGAAAATGCCTTTCAGTAGGAGATGAGCTGGCTACTCATACAGCACACCTATCAACTCTGACAGTCCTGGGACAGGGCCATAGGTCCTGGGTAACCCAGGCATGGCTCAGGTTATCCTCTAGAACATAAATTACTTTAAAACTGCAAGAATATGAAGAGCGTCGTTTCATTCCCAAATGTAAATTCTAATCAAAACACAGTTGGGAAAATAAGCAATTACGAATCCCACAAAGTAGAGATCTATAATATAATACCCACAAAAATCAACTTGCTTGGTTTGCAGGTTTTTTTTTTTTGGTTTTATGGGGGAAAAAATGAAAGAAGTTCAGATGTATTGTTATATTTCTTTTCCTAAATTGAGGTATTTCTTCTAACAGAGAAGGAAATCAGGGTGACCTCCCTGACATGCTAACTGGGATCTTGCACTTAACAGTGTGGCCCCCAACTCTGAGGGCCTTCATTCTCCCTGGCCCCACTGCATGGCTGTTCCACACTGCTGGGGCGACGACCCTGGGCTCCAATGCTTTTCCTGCTCGGCCTTCATCTGTGATAGGGTCAGGCCTCCTGCTCTGGAAGCAGACTGCTTCCCTACTGGGGCCATAACTGCATTCTCCAGCCACTTCTGGAGGTAGAGAGATAATAAAGCTTTTTTTCTGCTAGAAACTTCTGATATTAGAATGATATCATGAGCATGCAGGAAGTTTGGCGGTAACTCTTAAAAGGTGGGGCAAGACAAATGGGCTAGTCGATCAAAAAAAAAAATGTGCTGACACTACTCTTATCACTATGCAGAACCTTCCACTAATTCTGTGGCTGAGGTCAGCGGGAGCACTGCAGGTAACTGCTGGGTGGCCTGGAAGAACTTTCTAAAAGGAGGTAGTATGAACTCTGGCCTACAGGGGATGAGAGGAAAGGGAAGTCCTTAAGCACAATGATGAAAATAAGGGTGGAGAAGTCACTGCTTATGCTTGCAAACCCCCACATCATCACTGGCACCCAGAGTCCTGTGCCAGAGCCTCCCCTCAGTGTGCCAGCTCAGAGACAAGGCTACAGGCCGACTCAACACCTGGCTTGCATAGGACTCAGGGTTTCTTTCTTCCTCTGAGTCTCAGTTTCCTCAAGGGCAAAAGAGAGGGCTGAGCTATTTGATGTCCATTCAGGTTCTTCCAGACATCCGTGCATATTTGCAACATCAGGAGTGCGGGTCAGGAGCACAAGGCCTTCCCAGAGTCCCATGGCTACCAGAATAGGTGGCTACCCACAAAGTACTCAGGGCTCTGGGCTGGGGCTGTCACAGAAAGAACCCCGGCAGGTGCTGAGGAGTCCCGAGACTGGGCCTCCAAAGGCAGGAGGTAGTCCACCTCGGCGGCCAGCTAGTGGACCTACCTGACTGCCACACTGGCTTCTCACAGTCTGCTCAATTTTGGCAATTTCTTCATCTGGATCCTGCAAAAACTATCACATGTCCCCAGCCCCAGGAAACACCACATGGGAGAAAGACAAACACAGAGAAGAAAAGAGGAAAGTTGATTAGCTTATGAACACCACTGTGCCAATCGCACCTCCCTCAAGCCCCTCTCAATAAATAGGTGGCAAGGCCCAGCCAGGTACCCAGGTGAGATGGGGGAGGGGCGCTGGATGCTCCCCCACCTGTCCCTTTTGTACTCACGACGGCCACATTTGCCTTCCTTTTCCTGGAGCGAACAGAGACATCGGTGCAGCTTTCTTCTTTCATGGTGTCCAGCTCCTTTGCATCCCTGCAGTGTCAGGGTTGGCACCGAGGTAAGTGGAAGCTCACCCCAATTCTCCGCCCACCCCCTCCCCCACCGCAGGGCGCCCTCCCCTCCCCGGCAGCCGCAGGGCCACGCACCTCTCCCTCGGCATGGCGCAGGGTCCGACGTCGGGCCTGGGGGCACCAAGCGGGCAGTGAGGTGAGCAGGTCGGCGGAGGGGGCCGCGGCCGCCCCGACACCCCTCCCCCCTCCCGCGCGGGCGGCTTCCGGAAAGGAAGGGAGCGTGGGAGGCCTGGC